AGAACTAAAAATCTTATTGTTGTTATAATAGCTGAGTGTGTAATTAATCATCTCCTATTGATCTGCTCTTCATCTGGATGCGGTGCACAAAGGCTGAGGGGCTGTCCTGTTCTTTGGCTGCTCCCTCCAGTCAAGGGGGATGTGAGAGTCTTCTGTGGTGGACCTTCCTCCACAGAGCCAGAGAAGAGCAGTGATAATGAGACCTAATCTAAATGAGCTTGGTGCTTACAATCCACGTCCCAAAGGGCGTATAAACATCACAAATATTGATACAGGATCAGGAGAGAGCAGGCATTGATTAGTGGTCAAGGGAGAGGGATGTCCTAATTGTCTCTGGCGGTGCTGATTCATTTTATCAAGGAAATGTGGGGACATGAGCCTTTAAAATAGATTAAGGGCAGAGAGTTTGGCATTTTAAAAGAGAAAAACTTTTTCTGTCATTCCAGGCTTTCTGAATTAGTATTACTATTAAGCAGTAAACATCTAGAGACAAAATTTATCTATATAAATAAATATATGTAACTTGTTCTTTGGACCTTTTGTTTCTGTGGCCTTTTTTCCTAATTTGACTTTCCTTTTTGTGTTCAAATAAAATTTGTTGGTTTGTTTGTTTGTTTGTTTCTCCTTTCCAATGGAGATTATATTTATATAGAAAACTTTCAATTGACATCTTGTTTGCAGACATCATGTTGCTGGCTGTTTCCCCTCTACAGTGCCCTGTGTTTGTTCATGGTGCCACCCTGCCTTTCTAGAGATCTGGGGATGTTTTGCTCATGTGGTTGGAGGTGTGAGGGCATCCAGACAATTTTCTGGCCTGAGAAGTTTGTGACCAAAGCTACTGTAGCAACATACAGCTGTTTTCTGGTCAACATCAGTGTATCTCTAGAGCAAAACCACTTGTCATCACAGCAGTGGAGAATTTAGCCCTGACTGTAATCTCAGTTTCCTTAAGGAGAGTTCTTATTTGATGTTGTCAAACTGTATCTGGAAAAGCAGGCTACGCTTTTCTAAACTTTTAATAACGGTGTAAAGGCATAAAAGCACCGACCAATTAATGTTTTGAAAATACAGGATTCCAGCAAGTTGCCTCTGATGACAGGTTTCATCTATTGACTGTTTTATGGGAAGATCAATAGTGTTCAGGCTGCAAATTCGTCAGCTGAGGCAGTACAGGCTCCAACAGCTCACTTTTAGGAGGATGTTAACAGCCATCTGACTTAGTGTAGAAGGTGGTGTCATTCACATAGTCTCTGTGGAAAGACCTACAATCAGACAGACAAATCAGTCTTTGCTTCTTATTCATTAAGGTTTTGATTTAAAGTTTGTGCTGTAGAAAGGAGCCTTTAGGGATATGGTGATGTGTGTTTGCTCTCTCACTACCGTTAAAGCTGCCGAACTTGAGCTTCTTGTATTGAGCTGGAAGAAAAGTGGGTTGGTAGAATGAGAGATTTAATTTAATTGTCATTCCCAGAGCCAGGTGTCAGGCTCGTGTTAGGCAGAAAATGAAAATATCCCTGTCACAGAGATATGATGTATGTTTGTAACCGAGAAACCAGAAAAGGGAGTGGCCAAAGCCAGGCTGGGCAGGGCTTGGAGCAACCTGGTCTAGTGAAAGGTGTCCCTGCCCACGGGCAGGGGAGTTGGAACTAGGTAATCTTTAAGGTCCCTTCTATCTCCAGTCATTCTATGATTCTATGGTACAGCTATTCCCATTCCTTTTAAAATTCTAACCACAGGAATGACTTCTATCCCGCCTGGAGAAGCTTTTAATTGTCCCTGAACTTTCCTGTTGTGCAGTGGTTCAGAGGCACCACAGCCATACGATTAGCCCAGGCTGCTCTTGCTTCGTGTTGGCCTAATTATCTGTTCATTAGAATCTCAAGTCTCGAGCTGAAAGTGTGGAGGGTGTCTTTGTTTAAAGGGCAGTCTCCTAATGCAAATATTAAGAGAGCTTTCTGCCTTGCCTGAGTCAGACTGACAAGCTAATAATAGCCTTCGTGTTAGCCTTGGCTAACAGAGAGCATCAGGATAAAAAGGTTTTAAGGGACTGGTGTATCAATCAAATCACAGGCCATAATACGCATTCGAGTGTTTTGCTTGTTTTAACACTTAAACTCCCATTAAGAAGTGTTTTCTGAATGCAGAGGGCATGGGAGTAAAAATGGAGCCGTTCTCCTCTAAATACGCCGTTACATCCACTCGAGGCTTCAGGTTGGCCTTGGGTGGCCTCTATTAGCAGAATCCCAGAGTACAAAAACTTTCAATAGCTTTCCATCGCTGGGGTTTTGTTCAAGTCACTGTCCTTAAGTTAATAGGTAAGGTATCAGATAAGTCAGATGGCTTAAAAACCGTCGTGTTGACTCTGGGGGGGGAGCTGTGAAGATGAGGTGAGTTGTTGGAGAGGGCATGTTTGATTCCCAGCTTTGCCAGCAGAGGATTACATGTTATGCGATTGCTGCAATTTAATTATAGTGTTTCAGTGGTTTTGATATCTGCCTTTAAATTATCCCAAGGGCATCTAGGAGGAACGGCTTACTTTGAATAAATCTTAATAAATATATGACTCTGCTGCTGGCTTGTTTGGCTCTGTGAGCGCCATTTGTTCCTATTAACTGTATCCTGGAAGTCAATGCAGCTATTCCTGCAAACATGGCAATATCACATGAGCAGGAACTTATGGGATGGGCTCAATATGTCATTACAACCACTGTCAACCTCTCCCTTTTATTTATGGAAGGGCGATGCATATGAATGTACCTTTATCTGGGAAGTTTTAGGCAATTCTAATAAAAGGAGATATGCATGAATTATCAGAACATGATGTTCTATTCACTGGAGGGAGAGTCATTTTAAAAAGCCTTCTAAGTGAGATGTGGTTGCTAAGTAAGGAGAGGGTTTTATTAGACCAACTGACGTAATGGAATCAAAAAAAAAAAAAAAGGGCAGGCAAGATTTTGGGTACACAAAGATCTTCTTCAGATGGGAAACAAATGGCAGACTTTGGGCTGAGAATGGCTTGGGAAGAATGGCTCTGAACTTAAGCTGTTAAATGGGGAGGTAATTCTAGAGGGAAGGGGTAGCTGGAACACATGGGAAGGATTGCTAAGTGATGGAAGTGGCATGGGAACGTGGAGGAAGGCTGGTTTCTGGAGGAATTTACAGCAATCTGAAACTGTGCTGTGACTGTCTTCTATCTTCCTTCAAGGTGTTGGCAGCTGCAGGCAGGGGAGGAATGGGAAATACAGAGCAATATAGGAATTAGACTCTGCATTGGAGAAGGAAGAACAGGGGGGGATGTCCACTGGCAGTGGGGTTTAGTATGATGGAGATGAGCAGTTTCTCTAAAGCCTGGGAGCAAAAAACATTCTAATTCAGGAAAGTAACTTCTGTCAGACAAGGTTTTCTGGTACAAATGGACTCTTTACTGGTTTTCCATGGTGAGATAGGGGAACTGGAGCATACAGTTGTGGACTTTTTTCTGATGTTCTTAACATTGGCTACCTGAATTCCTGAGGGGGTGCTTGGCTTCAAAATCTGTTCTTAAATCTCATTTGTCTCTCTCCTGAAGTGTCCTTGTTGGGCAAAGGACTTCTTTTCCCAGAGGTAATATCCCAGGCATTTCCCTGGGAACTGTGGTACCTTTGGGAGACCTGGCTGGATTTCCCATCCTCTGGGCTTGGCAGAACCACCAGCCTGTGTGGAATACAGGGAATATTGTGGAGTGGGTTTGATCTAGGCAGGGTTTCTTCCGTGTATTCAGCTCAGCAGTAAAATTCATCATGGTTATGGTATTTTCCTGTTCTGCACAGGCTTAATTTAATGATATTTGTAAACTACTTGAAGACCTGTGGATGAAAGATGTGCTCTATTATTAGCAAGGCTACTTTGTGCGGTGTTCAGACATAATAGGGAGCCTCTGAGATAAAAAGCACCATAAATCTTGAATGAGATATTAACAATATCCAGTGTAGCTGATGAGAACTAACTGCCAGGCAGCTGTTGGGCTGGAACTGTTCTCTCTTATTAGAGCAACCCCCCCCTGGTTTTGTAGCTCAGGATCGTGTTTGTACCTGTGTCGACTGACAGAGGAAAGAAGGGTGACAGTGTGTGTGGTATTTGATCACTCTTTTAGCTTGAAGAGAGGTCTAGGGCTGAAATTTGGGGAAAAGACTTGTCTGCTGATTGTTATTGCCAGAGTGGGTCCCTGTTCCCCTCTGTGCTTTAGTTATTGAGGCTTAAGTTTGAAAAGCCTCACCAGGCTGTCTTGGGGAATTGGTAGTTAAAATATTGTGTTAACAATCTGTAAACTACTCGAAGAAATGACTGAATTAATTTCACTTTGTTACAGGAGGCTCCTGCCTCAAAAGATGACAAACTCTCTCCGTTTTTTGTGGTTTTAGTTAGACCCTGAAAGTTTGATGCTGTTATTTTCTGTCATACAGAATTTCCTCATTTACACCAGGACAAAGAAACTGGGATAAGGCTGTGACAATCTCTGCAAAACCATTGACATGTAACCTTTTCTTTGACCCTCCATAGCTCCTGCAATCCTGCTATTTTTGAACTCTGGCTAGGTAGCAGGATGAAGATTACATATCATCCTCCAGAGCAGCGCTTTTATTTTGGTCTTGTTATTTTAGGAATAATCAGCAGAGAACAAGGATGCTTCCCCTTACGAATTTCATGTGCTTCCCTGAGGGGACTGATAGCAAGGGAGGGCTCTTGCAGAATACACAATTTCCCCGGCAGTAGTTTAGATAAATCTTATCTGCCCTTGAATCTGTGGTAAATCTTTCACTGACTCTCATGGAGACTGAATTTCAGTGTGTGTTTACGTCCTACTTCCCAAGGCACAGAGCTGCAGTGTTTTTAAACAGCTGTAGAAACGCTGTTTCAAGCTGTTATTAACTGTTCTACGTAGAATAATTTTATGCACATTCCTCTAAATGTCTGAATTTTATGCTGGAAACAATAAAATGTGTCGTCTTCTTTCCCTCAAGGCCCAATGTGTGCCCGGTGTTCGAGCTGGCGCTGGTGGGACACCAAGAGCCCTGCGTTCAAGCCTTCAGTCGGATGGTCAAGATGTGGAAACAAGGGTGCACAAAGAGGAGGTGGTGTGTGAGCTATGAGAGAAGGTAATATATTATCTGTATCATTATATATGGATTTCACTATTAAACTTCGTGCAAGTTCTTCTACTTTGTCAGAAAGTTGTGAACTTACTTTGTCAGAAATGCGTGTGACTTTGTTATGGACGAAGTGCCCTGCTGAGACTTTACTTAAAATCTGTTCTTTCTGAGTAGAAAATGGGACTTTTTTAATGTGTTTTAGGTTGGTCATGAACTTCTTGGCTGGCTTTAGATCACAATTTTACATTATCAGAAAATGCTCCTGTCTCATTCGTGTTCAGGTGAAGTCCAGCTGTCAAGCCATTGACTTTGAAAAATTAAACTTCTTTCTGTTTCTGTCATATGCTTGGAACTGATGGGAGATCTGACTCTCCCAACAACTAAACCCCAAACTGATTGCAAAACAAAATTACTCACCTTTGACTAGCCTGAATACAAATTCTTCCAAAAAAAAAAAAAAAAAAAAAACCAAAAAAACCCACAGACATAAGAACATAGAAGAGCTATTGGATGTTATCAGGATGCAGTTTGCTGGATTTGCTTCATTTTCAACAAGAGCTTCTGATAGAGGCTTGAAAAAAAAAAATGTCTGGTTAATATGACAGATGAGTAGAGTTGGTTGCTGATGAGATGTGAATGGGTGGAATAGAAGTTGTGATTGTCCTCTGAAACTTTCTCTCCTCCAAGGTCTGGGTACTACACGGTTTACAAGCAGGTGTACAGGATGGAGCACCAGACTGTCTACAAGTGCTGCCCTGGCTGGGCCCAGCGTGACAACGAGCCTGGCTGTTTGCACTGTAAGTTGGGGGCAAAACTGTGACAAATCAAGGGAGATGGCACACCCCTAGCCCTTCAGCCTTCCTCCTGATGCCTACTTCCAGAAAGATGGATTTTGTGCCTCGCTGTTTATAGCAGGGGATTTCCAGTTCGAAAGAGGTGATCTGGTGACGAGGAAAGGAAACGTCCTTTTGAAAACACAGAAGCAGTCATGTAAAAGTACCAGATAGATCTAATTTTAATCTGACAGTATAGATTAACAGCCTTAACTCTGATTATAGTTGTTGCAGCATTTTTGTGCCAGTCTGGCTTTGACAGGCCAGCCAAATTTATTGCTGTTACCCAAATTATGCAAAGAAATCTGCTGTGAGGCACTTGTTTCTTGGACGTAGCACTCACTGCAGAGCCTGCCTGGGATTGGCTTCTTCATCGCTGTTGTTACCATTGGAGCAATTGTGTTTTTGCCCTGTGGTTCTCCATCTGATGAGAACCTGTTTCTATCTAATCATGATTGGATGTTTTCCTAAAAGATGGAATTTAATATAAATGATGAGGAAGCACTTCAACCACTGTTAACAAGTCATCAGTGGAAGATGGCAACCTACTCAGTGTTTAGTTTTGTTACTGTTTTGTCAGTAATTGTATTTTCTGTATGAAAGTTAGCATCTGTTCTTACGTATTTTTTTAATCTTCAAACTAACTTGAGGGCTGCGTTCAGACATCTTGCTTTTATGATTGTCTTTGTAGTTAAAAAATAAAAACAAGCCTGAGAGGTGTTCCTGTTAACTTTAGCCTGAATCTACATATTTAGTGCGCACCTGTTTAGATGTAAGAAGTCAGAGATGTGTTTACAATCTGTATTTTAATCTCTGGTGTAAAGGAATTTAATGTATGTGAGCACCAGTGGCAGTACGAAATTATTTTCTTCCTGAAAGAGCAGTGCAAGACTCGCTTTGAATTCTTTAAGGCACCAAAGTGGTTGAATTACTCTTTTATGTTTGATACTCTTTGCAACTTTGGCTCAAGTCTGTGGAATTCAAGTTTTTGTAAATAAAAACTGTTCTGGGTTGGAGGAAGGAAAGAATTGTCATTCCCTTGCACACATAGAACATTTTTTAGCACACCAGTGGTTCTTTGCTGTGGAGCAGTTCCTCTGCTCTTTCATTCTGGATTCAGGCAGTGCTTTGAGTCCTTAGAAACTATCTTCTGCCTCTGAAGCATCTTCAAGTTAAACTGCATTATCTTAGTCTTATTTTTATTAAACTTCCTCATATCAACACGGTAGTCATACCCATGACAACAAGTTCTACTGAAGCCCAACCTTTTCCACTTAAACAAAAAGCTGGGTTTCATCTTATTTGGAAGGTGTTGTTACAACAGGGCTATGACAAAGGCAGCTCTGGAGGATCCTTGGCACAAAACCAACTCAAATCCCCTGTTTCGTTCTGTTTGTGTGCACCAGTGCTCTGCACAGCTGGCACTTGCTTCAATGGAGGGAAATGTTCTGAAGAAGGATCCCAGGTGTGCCAGTGTCCTGCAGGATTTCAGGGGCCTCGCTGCCAGTATGGTGAGTCAAATGGAAATTGTTTCAAATGCCTCTGGTGTTTGGGGAAAATGCACGTTCAGCAGCAATTGGTAAAACGTGAATATTTTTTAATGTTTACCTAAAGATGCCTTTGCTGCACTTCTGAGCGTTTATTTGGTCATTTTCATGTTTTCCAGGAATTGTATTTTTTTTTTGGTACTGAATTATAACAAGGCAAGATGAAAACTTAATTTGATTGATATCAGATGAGTGAGTGTCTGTAAAGGATAATATCATTGAATATCAGTAATAGGGTCTGGTGGAATATCTTTCAACTGCTTCTCAACTTCCACATCCTTGTGGTACTCTTACTGAATTTCTTGGCATTGCTTTTACACTTGTGAAAGCAAATTCAGAGTCAGAACAGGTGGACAGTGGCTAAAGAATGTAACAAGTGAACCAAAGGTTCATGGGGCATCTTTTGGTGCATCTGAAAGTAGGAAGGCTGGTTTTACAGATCACTGCCAAGTATTTCTAGTATTCTGGGAGTAATTTATTCACCAATCTTCCATTTCACTGTGTTCTAGCATATGATAGACTAAATTCTGTACGACTTAGACTATCACCCACTCTCAGTGAGGATCCTTTATGTCTCATACACTGGCTCACAATCTATAAACCCACAATGGCTTGTCTTGTAATTTAACATACTGTGTGAAGCTCTCCAAAATTACAGAGCTGCATCCATTTGGCTTCTTAAGGGAAGGAAGAAAGTCATTCCTGCAGAGTAGGCCGTGGTTGGGACAAAGGATTTCTTTTGTATCAGGCAAATGATAATTTCCTTTTCAACTGAAGCACGCTATGTTTTGTTCAAAGAAAGGCAGATTTTTAAATACTTTGGGTCTTCCCTTTTACATTCTAATATGTTCACGTCCTCACCTGGCTTGTCTGTCACGAAATAGAAGTGAGAAGGAATGTAACAATAAATAAAGTGCAGAGCTGCTCACAGTGAATGTTCTGCTGACACGAGACTGCACTGTGCCAGCAGCTGCCTTCAGACAGAGTTAGTTCAGGTAAGCTGTGATTGCGTATTTCTTTACTGCCCGGAGAAACAACCAGTTTATATAGATAAGTTGACATGAATCAGAGTGACACCAGTGCAGGTTGCTTTGTTCTTAGCTTACAGAAGAGCTGCTGTTTCAAGGTAAGAAAGATCAGGCTCTCTGAGAAGTTTTTACCAAATGCAGTGTAAGTTTTAGCAAAATACGAACTGTTCTTGCTTGTCTTTTGAGCCTCCTTTTGCTTGGAAATACCTACAGCACTAACACATTCCCAACAGGCAGATTGTGTGGGTGCAGCCTGTGGACAGCACAGGTCAGATTTCCAGGCTGGACTGAGATTGTTCAGTCTCTATTTCACAGGCTGGTGACTGCAGACACTGTAAAACAAAGAGAGGTGTCCTGCAGCCCTTGCCCTTTGCAGTTGGGTGGAACTTTTTTATCTTGGTCGTTTGTCTGCTCCCTATTGATTCCCGGGGTCTGAATGGAATTCCAGTCGTCATCATTTTCAGGTTTATACAGCAGCTGCTATCTCAGCCTGGCAGGAGTAAGTTTATAAATTAAATTCTGAAGGAAAAAAAAACCCCTTTCAGGAAGAATGTTATGGACCATTCACCTGCCTAACAAAAGCAAGGTAATTTAGAGTGTAAGGCCTCTTAACCATTGCAGGCATCTGCAGTCAGATGCTCGTGGGGTTTGTACCATGTTTGTGCAAGCAGAACTGGATAAGAAATGTACTGTGGGACTAGCAGCTACAGCCTCTAGTTTTCTTGGCTGATGTTGAAAGTAGCTTGGATTTAATGCAGCTGCATTACTTAATGGTAATGCACTGTGGGTTTAAGTGATCATTAAGTCTAGACCCTGCCTTGCCTACTTGCCTGTGCAGCCTTACTGTAAAATCGACTGTTTTCCTTCCAGCACTTGAACTAAAGGAAAAGGAATCTCTTCTACCAGCATCTTTTGCTTTGAGGGTTCTGTGGAATAGGTGAGTTCCAGGAGAACCACAGATTGTTTTTGGAACACGTGCTGTAAAGTGGCAGTGGAAAAGCTGGTCCTGTGAGATGTGAGGCTGTTGCTGGTGCTGAGGCCCCTGACCTTGTACCTCGAGACTCTGTCCCTCAGCTGCCCCTTTGGCAGGACTGTTCAGGAAGGTGTTTCAAGGGCTTTTACACAGGGAAAGGGAGGCTCTAACGGGATATGAGACCATAAACTGCTGGCAGAAATCTGCCCCTCAGACGTTCTTGGTTGTAATCTTGGTTTCTGTCACTTTTGGTTTTGTGGCCTCCTGTCAATCTCCTGACAGAGGAGGAATCGTGGGCATTTCATAGCTGCACCTGCACTCACTGGAGCAAAATTGCTGCCTGTATCCCATTTTATATCTCCCCCTCCACAACCCTTTTGCTTATCTTCTTTCTGTTTCTGTCATCAGTGTTGACAGTTAATTCTGAAGTTCCACTCTTGCAGTGACTCTCATGATCTCCTTGCTGGGTACTATGATCTGCAGACAATAGGCCAGGAATTATAAAAATATTATTAAATTCAGTTACTGTAAAAAGTAAATGGTAACATACATCTCAAGCACCTTCTAATCTTGCTTTTCCTGTTGGTGGGGTTTGCTTGCCATTAAGTTAGGAAATAGATCAGCATCCTGGAAATGAAGACTTGTCCTGGTCTGTCCTACAGAAAGTTTGTAATGGATCATCTGGAATGACTCATGACAGCCCAGTGTCACTGCAACCTGAGCAGAGATGATTATTCACAATTGACATGATCTCAGCTAATGACTTTTCAAAGATATCCCGTGGTGTTTTTGCAGCCTGGAGCACGACATGTTCCTGATTAGATGCTGAAAGGGTCAGGGGTCCTATAACAAACTTGCTGTAATTGTGTTTAGAAATGTGTTACTGCATCTCTTGCACACGTCACTCCTCAGTTTTATTATTTCACGCACACAAGCAGCAAATAAAAACTCAGAAGAAAGATTTATGGGTGAAATGGTCGAGTTCTTCATCCAGCCATTACAGGGATTCGGTAACAGATTGAGCTGTCTCTGGCATTGTCTGCTGCAATTCATCTTGTAATAATAGACTTATATCAATTACAATGTGAACTTGCAAGCTGGATTTCTTCCTATTTTCTTTTTTTTTTTTTTTTTTTTAACTTGTTTGGACATTGTGATCCCCCCTTCTCCCAGGGAAAGAGAGAGAAGATTTGTAACAAAATGAGAAGGTAAAACCCAGCGCTGAGAATCGAGTCTGCTGCAGTGCTGGTGTCATTGTTATTCACTACTTGTCCTGGTAATCTTGTTCAAGGCCTGCTGGCCACCTGAGCTGGACATGAAAGTAAATTAATTTCATTTAGCTTGTTTAGTTCAGCCCTGGGACGTGCACGTGGACAGGCAGGTAGTAAAAACATCCCAAATTCTACAAACAAGTATTATTTACTCTTCGTGTACATAAAATTGCTCAGTGCAAAATGAGGGGTTAGCTTTGGCTCTTAAACGTTTTGTCATCAAACCTCAAGTTGTTGCTGGTTTTACCAAGTGTCTCCTGATGGTTTCAATAGTTAAAGACAGAGTGATAACTGAAAAAAAAAATTACAGGTTTTGTAATTTCATGACTGCAGCAAAGTCTCACCATTATTAAGGTTTTTGCAAGAGGCTCCCATAATTAGGAAAGAATAACTACAACTCTGTGAGATGATGGATGTTATCAGAAGATGTTTAAAAACAGGTGAGGAATGTCCAGGGCAGACTTGTCAGGAAAGTCATCTTATGGTGACATGATGTTTGTCATCTCAGCTTAATCACTGGGAGAAAGCTGCACACAATATTCCAGTGTTTAACAGATCAAGTGTCTATAGATTTAAATTTTACACTGTAATGTTTGCTGTAACACAGGTGGAATTTTAAATGCTTTTACAGTGCCTGATGTAGATTACAGGGGATTGTAGGAAAAGCTTCCCAAGCCCACATCTCGAGTGCAGTGTGGTCTGCTGAGTGCAGTGCTTGCCTGATAAGAGCTCTCTTTTTCACCTGCCACTGACCTTGGATATTAGTGCAGTAACTTTTAGCAAATTATCCCACCATGCCTGGATTCCTTTGTCCATGAAGTGTTGATAATGACAGCGTGTTCCTTTGTAAAGCGCTTTGAGACCCAAGTAATTAAGTGTCAGATAATGGCATTGGAATGTGTATATAAAGGCAAAATGCACACTGCATGGGTAGCTAAATGAAATGCTTATGAGATAGATATTCATCAGTTCATTGACTGGCTGTCAATCTCTTCCCTAGCTCTGGTCACACGCTATTAAGATATTGAACTACATAAAGATTCTGGGAAACAAAAATGTCAGCACCTCCTAGTCCAGGTAGTTCAGAGTTTACACTACAGAACTACTTAAAACAAAAGTGTCTTTTTTTTTTTTTTTTTAAACCACTGATTAAAATGGCGGGAATTTTGATGTTGCTTCTCGCAAATAAAAATATTTGCTCATTCACTGTGAAAAAAGAATTTTCTTCCATTTTCCTCTCCTTCCTGCAAAGACTTATTTGATAAAACTTCTGATTAATGCACTGTCTGCCATCCTGGTGTCTTGTAGAGATGCAGATCTTCTTCTTAGAGACTGAAGACCTACGACAGCCTCACAAGGCAGTGTATACCTGTGAGCCAGTGCTACAAATTCTCCTCCTCTGGAGGTCCTTTAAAATAGCAAGTGGGAAAGTGAGAGCTCAGGGAGATGTCTTCTGTTTTCATGGATCTCTGTTTCCCAGAGAAATGAGATAATGCTTGAGTATTTCTGAGGGTAGATTAGTTCTTAAAGTGCTTATGCAGGGCTGTTGATGTCAGAACCTTCACTGTTCCAGGTGTTCTGGCCTTTTTTTATCCTCCCATATTTTGGTTATGAGACCTGTGCAGTTTTACCAAAGGTAACATTTTTATCATGAAAATTCTCCATTAGCCCATAGGGAGAGTGGAGAGGAGG